GACCTGGTTATCTCCGAGACCGCCTTCTGCCACAGATTACCTCTCATCGGCCGATACGCTCCCACAGAGAGGGTCTCCTCAGGGTGCCGTCAGTCAGACAGTGCCGGCTGGCGACCCCCAGGGGGAGGGCCTTCTCTGTTGGAGCCCCCTCCCTATGGAACGAATTACCCCCAGAGATCCGGGTCATTCCGGATTTCCCCTCCTTCCGCCGCGCCCTCAAGACATGGCTATTCCAGCTAGCGGGACTGGCCTAAGGGATATTTTAATTTGATTTTAATTTGATTTTAATTTGGTTTTTAACATAATTTTAAAAAGAAACGGCAAAAAATCAATATTTCATTTTAATTGTATTTTAAACTTAGTATTTTGTATGGTTTGTCTATTTTTTAACTTGCTGTAAGCCGCCCTGAGTCCGCTAGGAGAAGGGCGGGGTATAAATTTAATAAAACCTAAAACCTAAAACCTAAACCTTAAGTTGTGGGCAATCTGTATTTGGGCCTTTTTCAGGGCAGGGCAGAGTGGATTGCACTGCCCTCTATTAGAACAGCAAAGGTCCCCAACCTTTGTGGCTTGGCGGCTAGGCTGGGGGGGGGGGAGAGGGGAACTGGGCCACATGAGCGGCAGGCCGGCACACACAAGTTGAGTTGTATGTGCACGTGTGCTTGAGTCTCCAGCCAGCCACTCGCGTGGTCTAATTCTGAACAGGCCACGGCCCGATAGTGACCTGTGTCCCCGGGGCTATGGAAGTTTCTCAACATCCTGGGAGCAACAGGGTGCTGGCGAGCTAGTCAGGCATCCCAGATCAGGCAGTGAGCTTCATGGCTGAAAGGCCACTGGGACCTTCAATAGCAATAGCATTTAGACTTAAGTAGCACCACACAGTACTCTGTAGCACTCTCTGGGTGGTTTACACTGCAGAAGCATTATTTGCATATTGCCCCCCCCGACCGTCTGGATCCTCATCTTACCGACCTGGGAAGGATGGAAAGCTGAGTCGACCTTGTGCCCTAGCAGGATCAATTTTCAGGCTGTGGGTAGAGTTTGCCTGCAATGCAGGTAGTCCTTGACTTACGACCACAATTGAGCCCAACATTTATGTTGTTAAGCGAGACATTGAATGTTAAATGAGTTTTGCTCCGTGTTACGACCTTTTTCGCCACAATGGTTCAGTGAATCACTGCAGTTGATAAGTGGCTGTTAAGCGAATCTGGCCTCCCCGTTGATCTTGCTCGTTAAAAGGTTGCAAAAGGTGATCAAATGACCGTAGGACACAGCAACAGTCGTAAGTATGAACCAGTTGCCAAGCATCTGAATTTTGATCACATGAGTATCGGGATGCTGCAAAGATCGTACGTGTGAAAAATGGTCCTATCACTTTTTTCAGTGTCGTTGTTAACTCTGAACGGTCACTAAGTGAACTGTTGTGAGTCGAGGACTACCTGTACTGCACTTTAACCACTGCGTCATCAGAGTCCCAACGCAATTCCAAACACAACCTCTAACAGCTGTGCTGTGGGAGGGAAGCCAGGTCTTCTTGAGTCAATGTGATGTGCTGATCAGGACTCCATCTGAGTTCCAGGGAGCATGAAAAATCAACCAGAGACATCCTTGGTCTGTGGACCCTCCCTTCCAGTGCATACCTTTCAGCTCGTCCTCGTACACTTTGACTCCCTGAACTGAGTTCTCTTTGGGTAGTCTAGTGGTGCTGGACAGGACTTTGGTCTCCCCTGTGAGTTTGTCCTTCTCCACAGTGATCTCTACAGAGTACATAGCTGGGACATAAACAGGACACAGTGAGCAACAAGAACGTTTCTGCCCCCCATCCGCCCACCGACCTCTCCCTCCCTGAGCTCGGAAATGAAGCATTTGGTACGAGCAGGGAAGGTGGGAGGCGCAGGGCAGCTGGGGGGACCTGTGGACAGGCCCAAAGCATTAGAGGCAGAGAGAAGAAGCGATGCACAAGGCAAGCGAAGGCCTTTTTGCTCACAGGAACAGCAAACCCACAGAGCATCTGAGATGTTGCTTCCCCAAAGTCTTAGCAGAGCCTATTGGTGGCTCTCCTTGATGGTATCTTAGTCACCATTTCTAAAATGTTGATCTTGGGTTGGATCTAAACCGATGTTTTCCAACCTTGGCAACTCTAAAATGTGTGGACTTCCGCTTCCAGAATTGTCTAGCCAACCTTCAGAGTGTTATCATGTACACCAGGGGTAGTCAACCTTGGCTCTTTTATGACTCGTGGACTTCAATTCCCAGAATTCCTGAGCCAGCTTAGCTTAGCTGGCTCAGGAATTCTGGGAGTTGAAGTCCACGAGTCATAAAAGAGCCAAGGTTGACTACCCCTGATGTACACTGAAAAGACATGTTCTCAGTAGCTTATAGTTGATCCGTTAACCAAAGATGAGATGAGGGTTTAGCCGAAAAGGTTATTGATCAGAGTTTTTGCTTTTGGAAAAGGGCGGGCAAAATTAGGAAAGGAAAAAAAAGAAGAGTTTAAGCTTAAATGAAGCCAAAGAAAGATGAATTTAAGATTTGTTCAATAAACACTGGCCCTGCATCAGTGCTGAGATGGGTATGAAGAAGAACAGAGCAAAGAAGGAGAAAAGAAGGATAATGTATTTGTGATGGAGTAGTAAGTATGAGCAATAAGCAATCTTCTTCTTCTTTTTTTAAATAAGGCTTCCTTTCAGCTGAAGTCAACTTGGGTGACTTCCTGGACATTTCCTCTGTAGTCACCTTACAAGAGAGATGGATGGCATAAACATTTAATAAATAAATAAAATTAACATAAAAAAGTTTTATCTTTTCTTTCTTCCAGGATGTTTTTTTCCTGACTTCTCAGTTTAAACAACAGCCCTGGATTTTCCTAGGAATCATCTATCCAAGAACCTTGTTTAGCTTTTTGAGATTGGCCAAATTTGCCCTTTTATGGCTAAGATGAGGCACAGCAAATTTCCCAAGCAAATTTGATTAGTAAAAGCAAAAGCAAAGAATGCTGAATTGGGCATCAGAGCAGACAGGAATTTAGATTAAAAGTCAGGTTAACTTCTTTGTCAGTGGGAGAGAAAGACATGATTGGAACTGGGAATTTGGGATGAAAAGGAAGGAAGCGTGGAAAAGCCAGATGGGGAGAGAAGGACTGCTTTGTCACTCAACGCTCAGCAAACCTGCAGTCACCATTTGAATATAATACCAGCCCGAAGTTCTTTTGCTTATTCTGACAAGGATAATATACTTTGTCACTGTTTGCAGGCAGAAAAAGAAATACATGACTGTGTTTGCAGGCTGTCCATGATCTCAGGTCAGGAAGGAACATGAAACAGCTGTAAAACTATTCTTTTGGCATCCAACCTGCATACTTTCAGCAAAGGAGTTCTCAAGCAGGACAGCGAAATGTCAAAAACACAAACAACATGATGTTCTGTGTGCTCAGCTGAAGTGCAACTATTATTTTGGCTTGTTAATTACTTAAAAGCAAAAATGCAAAGCATCAAGTGGAGAATGAGATTTAGATGAAAAGTGAATTGAATTTCAGGAAGCATTTTCCTCCAAAGTGCAAAATTATTCTCAGTCTGATGTGTTGGAGTACAAAGTCTATATTTTCCAGCTAAAGCACTACATTGGCTAGCTAGGATGGGAGATGTAGTTCTACATGTGTGCAGCCTGCCTAATTAAGGAAAGCTGGCACAGAGTTTGGGCTCATTCCAGTTGACAATTGTCCCTGAAAGCACATAAAATTTGGACATACGTGGGGGGCCAGGACTCTTTTAAAAACAGGAGACAAATTGCTTTCTCAGCATATTTTTTACAGTTTTAATTCAGGATGGCTCGGAGCTTTCCAGTTCCATCCGTCCTGCTTGTTGAAATGAATATTTAAACAAACTATAATTTCCAAACATAAATGTAAATGCAATATGTAATTTATCTCAAAGCACACATTTGTAAATGCAGTTTCTCCTGTGATATAGTGTGAACATTTGCAGAGTCGTGGACTACAGTAATTGGTCATTAAATAATTTTCTGGGGGAAAGGGCTAAGACTGTGTGGCCTAGTGATCAGATGGGCTGGCAGCAGGGAGACGCAGATTTTACTCCCCTCAGCCCAAAAACGCAGGAGAGACTTTGAACTGGTCACCACAGCCTACCTCACAGGGGTGTTGTGTTAGGGAAAAATGGGATGAGAGAACACTATATACTTTGACTTGATTTCCTTAGGAAAAACAAGCTATAGATGTAACAGAGTAATAAATAAATAAATGCTACATTTGCCTGGACATTGTGAGAAAGGTGGATTTTTGAGGCTGCAGCCATCTCCTTGCCTGTTCCTATTGATTAAAATGTCCTATTAGAGCCGGACACCCAACAGAGCAGAAAGGAGACAAATTCATCACGATAATCGAAGCTGCCTTTGAGCCCCGAGCACAAAACAGATCAAACTGTACAGCTCACTCAGAGGTTTTCCAGTTCAGGATAGCTGTGATGCAGCTAATGGGTAACACGCCATTAGTTAAAACAACATTTATCAAGGGCAGCTCTGTGGTGACTGGGTGGTTTTTTCCCCCCCCTCACTCCCCCACCCTTCCACCCACTATTCTTCCTTTGACCTTGCAAAAATGGAGGACATGTCACTTCGGGCTGTATCAAGGCAAAAATCAAGGCCAACCAAGTGTAAAAAACACCACCAAATTTGGCCTTTTAAATGCATTCGGAATCGCTTTTCAGGGAGTGACGTAACTAGACGATAAAATATGACCTTAGTCCTGGGCTTTAGGCACAGGACTTAATTTATCTTATTAAATTTATAATGCTGTCCATCTCACTATCAAGCAATTGTGGGGTAGGATACAGTAGGATACACAGCCCAGAATCACTTCTGTGAGATGGACAGCTGTGTAAATGAAATGAAAATGAAATCTTGACTTTGGAATTTGCCGATTAGATTACTTTGTTGTTATAGAAATGGCTGGTATTTACTAAGTGCTGTATGTAAAAGTAAAACATTGAAGATGTAATTTTATTTTGTATTCCACTGTGCTGAACAAAGTTGGAAGTCAATGCTTTTTTCTCTTTTGCCCTTTATCCTACACTTCTCCTTTCCCCTTTTCCCTTTGCTATTTCCCTACTACCTTTATTTTCATTTATATTTTAGATTATGATAACCTTAATTAAAAAAAATAATTTAAAAAGAGGTGGGGTAGTTGTTTCAGCCCCATCTCAGCCTCAGATGGAAGACTTAAATAAACTGGGTTCATCTCTCTCTATAAATCCGGCACCAAAATCATTCAGTTGGGCTGAGGGGGCAGAAATTCATTGTTGGAAGATTTGGGAACTAATAAATTTAAAGGAACTTTATGGAAACTCATAAGGTCGTCTTTAGCTGTTCTGGCATTAAGATCCCTTTAAACAGGCAACAAACTTTGATTGTTTTGCCATGAGCACCATCTGATGCATTTCGCCAACCATTTGATCAGTCTTTCAGTCAGGTGCCTCCTAGGAATGGAATCAGTCAATCACCTACTGGTCATTTTAGGCCAGGGGTGTCTAAGGCAGAATTAAGGCAGAACTAGAACTCATCACCTCCCACTTTCTAACCTGCTCTCTTTAATAACTAGATCAGGGGTAGGCAACCTTGGCTCTTTTATGACTCATGGACTTCAACTCCCAGAATTCCTGAGCCAGCATGGCTCAGCTTGGAAACCTCTCCCTTTCCCCTCAGCATGGCTGGCTCAGGAATTCTGGAAGTTGAAGTCCACGAGTCATAAAAGAGCCAAGGTTGCCTACCCCTGTTTTAGGCTGATGCAGGTACCTTTCCCTCCCTTGGGCCTCAAAGCACAGTCCTCCAGGGCTGTTGTATTTTCAGAGTCTGCTTCTTTTAACCTGAGCCTCTCTCCCAGGACCCACCAGATCTTTGAACTGATTCCTGACTCAGAGACCAGGATCAACCTGAACAGCAATTGATTGGAGATGGTGGGTGGTCCATATCTGAAGCAGAAAGAAAACCCACTCTCTGTTTTCTGCCTCACAACGCAGTTCTCCCTGTGCCTGAGAATTTGGGCTGTTCTAGGCTGCTTTTGAACACAGGTTTAGTGCAGTTCTAGAATAGCACTAAACTTGTGTGCCGAAGCCTGGCGATCAGCTTTGGTTTGGTGCAAGTGTTTTACACAAGTCCTTTCAGCAGGAACCTGATGCTCTAATCTTCTGTCAAAATTTTTCTCCTCCCACCCAATATATGTTAAGGAGAAGGATGGGTATTTGCCTCCCCACTAGCTGGTGATCTTTGTGGGGGTTGGCAGAGAAATAAAACTGGGAAATAATGTGAGTTGTATACTGTAAAGACAGCATCATTTATCAGAATCAAGAGTGCAAGAATAGATATTGCTACCTGGACAGTAACTTTTACGTCATTATAGTTTCCTGCTACCTCAATGTGATGGTATGTGGGAAAGATCTTGGGAGGCTGGGCAAGGGAATACTGCCAAGGGAATGGTTAGATAAGAGAAAGTATAGCCCACAACTGGACAGTGGGCCGGGGTAGAGGCTCAAAAGAAATCCTCTTTAGATTGTTGTGTTGCAGAGGAGACAAGGGGGAAAATTTGTATTTTTAGAATTGCAAGATTCTGTCCAGGTAACTTCACAATAAAGTAGAATTAGCTCATCTGGTTGTGATTCCTATCTGGTTTATCCTGTGAGGTCAACACACAAGGACTCTTCGCACTTCATGAGGTCAACACTCAAGGACTCTTTGGACTCCATGGCCACGTCCCCATGAAGGTGCTGCTAGCAAGTTATTACATTCAATGACTGCAGATAGATTCACCTACCATTCCAAAAGCATCTTTTTTTTTAAAAAAAAAAAAAGGCAAATCAGGCCCTGATAAGGAAAATCTTCCTGACAACAAGATCTACAGTGCACAACAGTGGACCTCCATCTATGGGTCCCTTCATCTCTGGTTAGAACAATTAACCAGTGGAACAACCTGCCTCCAGAAATGGTGAATGCTTCAACACTGAAAGTTTTTAAGAAGAGACTGGATGACCATTTGTCTGAAATGGTGTAGGGTTTCCTGCCTGAGCAGGAGGTTGGACCAGATGACCTCCAAGGTCCCTCCCAACTTTATTATTATTATTATTATTATTATTATTATTATTATTATTATTATTATTATTATTATTATTATTATTATTATTATTACTACTACTACTACTACTACTACTACTACTACTACTACTACTACTACTATTGAGTACCTTTGGGCTTTCCAGTTCTGGAAGAGGCTGGAGAGTCACCAGACATGGATGATTTAAATGATGTTCCTGCATACTGCAAAAGATTGGACTAGATGTTCCTTCAAGAGGAACATGTTCCATATTCCATGTTCCTCATGAAGTTCTATGATTTTGTGATAGAATTTGTCCCCGTTTGCAGCATGAGGACATGGGAAAGAGATGAGACAGCCCTGGAGGGGCAGGAAGAACCACATCAGTTTGGACAACGCTGCTTCAATGTCTACATGAAAAATCATTCTCTTCTGGGATAAATTTTTCATAGCAAAGTAAGATATTGCATTGGTTATTCATATTTAAGGAGTTTCTTCTTTAATTGATTACGTTTACAAATATTATTAAATATATTATGTTTATAATTTGTAAGATATATATTATGGGATGTATTGGTTCTGGCCTGGTCTGATCCATTTTGACTGCTGCATTTAGATATGGTACCAGATTACAGAAAGGAAAGTGATCCATCCATCCATCCATCCATTCTTCTGTCTGTCTGTCTGTCTGTCTGTCTGTCTGTCTGTCTGTCTGTCTGTCTGTCTATCTATCTCTTGCTACAGACAGAGATAGATAGACAGAAGCAAGCGTCAAGCAGCGTAATGCAGCAAAGGTGAGACTTCTCCTCTGGCTTTGCCAAGGAACAAACTACAAATGCCTTGAGACAGATTCCTCTAGTAAGCTCCTTCTTGGCAAAAGCAGGCCAAGCAGCATGCGGTTAGGGCCAGCCCAGAGTGGCCAGGGTGTGCGTGGGCAGTGAGACCCGAAGAGGTCCCCAGGTCTGAGCCAAGACATCAGGACTGAACCTACCTGCTTTCATCAAGCCGCTGCCCTTGCCTTCCACCACTTTTATGGGACTGTTGGAGGCTTTGTTGTCTGCTTCAGGAAGGGGAAAAGAAAAAAGGAAATCAAAACTTGAATGGTCAACACAATCACCTTCTCCAGATCTCTTTCTGCCTCTGCATCCTCTCCTCTTCACTTTTTATTTCTTATATTTATGTCCCACCTCCTCCACGGGGAGAACATTATCGGGCATAATTGTTCCATTTTTATCCTCCTCACGACCCTGAGGTTTATATTTTTCTGAAAAATTTGACTAAGCATCTCCAGGATGGTGGGAAGGAGGCGGTCATAATGTCCATTTTGGCATCCTTAACAAATCAGGAATGGGCAACCAGGAAGATGGCCCAGAATAGCTTTTCAGAGGGAGATGGTGGCAAACAAACAAACAAACAAACAAAACAAACAAATAAATAAGGGTTCATTCTTTTACATTAAGCCAGAGGACTTCAAAGTTAGCAACTTTAAGAGTTGTGGACTTCAACTCCCAGCTGGCTGAAGAATTCTGGGTGTTGAAGTCCACAAGTCTTAAAGTTGCCAAGTTTGGAAACCCCTGCACTAAGCCATGGTTTATTCAATCATTGTTTATTAACTAAGCCACAATTAGTTGGGTTAGCACATTATGCAAACCATAAACCAATATTTTACAAAGACTGAGATCACACTAAACACACTAAAGCCTTTGCTCAGGCATTTGGTGAAGGTGATTTTTAATTATTAAATAAATAAACTAAACATTAAATACCCTGAACCTCTTAAAGTTTTGTCCCAATTAAAAATGCCATTCTGGGGTTTATTGTTTTTACCAGTGTCCCCATTCCAGTGATCTCCAAGTGTCTTAGATTATAACAGCCATAATTCCCAGCTAACATGCCAATAGTAACACTGAGGGGAATTATTAGAATCACAGTCAAATGCAACTAAGATGGTTAGTCTTCGACTTACAACACTTCATTTAGTGACCATTCAAAGTTACAACGATCCTGAAAAATGTAAGTTATGACTCATATTTACGATTCATATTTATGACAGTGTTGCTGGGGTCATGTGATCCCCTTTTCCCATCTTCTGACAACCGAAGCCAATGGGAAAGCCGGATTCAGTTAACTTTCCTGTCACTAATTTAACAAATGCAGTGATTCATTTAACAACTGTGGCAAGAAAGGTCGTAAAAAGGAGCAAAATTCACTTAACAAATGTCTCACTGAGTAACAGAAATTTTGGGCTCAATCGTGGTCATAAATTGAGGACTACCTGTACTTCTCTGCTCTCTGTATTGGCAAAAGCTTCAAAAATTTCTTATAATTCAAAGCTTTGGCTTCTAGAAAAATTCTAAATCAATATTCCTCAACCTCAGCTATTTTAAGACTTCGATTTCCAAAATTCCCCAGCCCATGTATGATAAAAAATAATCATAAAATGAAGTTCGGTCATGTGGTGCCTTGAGTTATGACCTCAATGAGTTACAGCCGAAATTCCAAGCTCCATTGTGGTGGTAAGTGGAGATCTATTTGTACACCAACCCAATTGCCTGGAATCACGTTACATGCCAAACTACAAACTACTCAACCATACTATAACCTAACATGTTACAGTATATGAACATCATTTCATCAGCTGGTCATTTAATTTGAGAAGGGCAATCATAGTCAAATGCCCCTCCATTAAAAAAAAGGAAGGGATTGAGGCAGCATTTTAAAATCAGAAGCCATTTGCAATACCACTGTTTAGACTGCTGCAATACGCCCTCTCTGGAGCTGCCCTTGGAGCCTGCAGTGGTGCAAAATGCAGGGATTTTTGTTCGATTTGGTCTGCACGGACGGACAGCATATAAAATGTTTGGGGATGACGATGACAATGAGAATGATGGTGATGATGATTTATATAATGATTTGTGATTTTAATCGCCTATGCCAGGGATAGGCAACCTTGGCTCTTTTATGACTCGTGAACTTCAACTCGCAGAATTTCTGAGCCAGCCTATGCACTGCCCAGAGTCACTGTCATGTCCTAGGTGGCTATACATATAATTGTTTGAATTAATATGTTATTGCCTTGTCGGTGCAGAATGCATCCAGTTTGGAACCAGAAGGCTTTCAGGCTCAATTCAAACTGCAATTCATTACTTTTAAAGCCATTTATTTATTTAGTCTGGTTCCAAAACAATTCTGGACAGCTCTGGGCAATGCCAAACAAACAAACAAATTAAAAACACAAGATTAAATAACCAATAGGTCATTGGATCACTCAATGCAGAACATGTCCAAAAGGTCATCCAACAAGGGGCCCCACCCCATCCTACCCCAAGGCCTGGGACAACAGCTTTTTCTTCAAAGCCCTCCAGAATCCCATCAAGGTGGGAGCCACACAGATCTTAGGAGAGATCTTGTGCAGGAGAGCAGATGCTGTGCTAGAGAAGACACAGTGCCTGGGTCCCAATAAATAGTCTTGTTCAATTGAAGGGATCCTGAGATGCCAATTCTGTACCAACTGGGCCGAAACTGTAGGACTGAGTTATATCAAGCAACGCTCTGTGGAAACAGAGCATGCCCATCTAGCACAGTGATGGCGAATCTTTTAGAGACCGAGTGCCCAAAAACTGCCCCCGCCCCCATCCGGTCCTGGCTCCGCTCCTGCTCTGCCCACCCATCCCAGCTCACCTGCCCCCTGCCCTCAGGGCCACCCACCGCCTCCACAGCCTGCTGCAGATCGCCCAGGTGGCCCAGCAGCACCATGGTAGCCATGCCTTCCGCCTGTGCCCTGCAGCATCAACTGTGCACAATGGGGCATGAGGGCAGAGTCTTGTCCCCGCTGCCCAGCTGCCATGTCCTTAGCTGTGCTGCTCCATGTGGGCCGCACTCGGGGGCGACTCCACGTGGGGGACTGCTGATGAGGGGGCCGCAAGGGGAGGTGGGGCTGTGGCGACTGCGCGCGTGCCCACAGAGAGGATTCTGAGTGCCGCTTCTGGCACGTGTGCCATAGGTTCGCCACCACAGATCTAGCACAATTGTTTAGAGAGAGGTCCTCTTGAGGATTCCCCCAACCTCGCAAGGTACAGGCGGTATGGAATGTTCTTGCAGGTGACATCTTTCTACAGAAGCATGGAAGACCACCTCCTTTGCTTTTCAGAAGCAGCTTAAAGTTGTACTCTTCCAGCAAGGTTTCAGACCTAAGATCTGGTTGAGTGTCAGCCCTTCAAGATCAGGAAACAGATGCCGCAGCAAGCTTAGAACTCTATTTCCTTGAGAAAGGCTATAATAATAGAATCTTGAAAACCAGCCCATGTCTCCCCTTTTTCCTTCTGTTCATGCTACAAGGAGTCAAAGGTTGGGGAATCATCTGAATCTCTTTGTAACACTTTCCCATCTCTCTGGACTTAACACAGGAAGTCCTTGACTTACGACCACAATTGAGCCCAAACTTTTGGTTGATAAGTGAGACAGTTGTTAAGTGAGTTTTGCCCCATTTTATGACCTATCTTGCCACAGTTGTTAAGTGAATCACTGCAGTTGATAAATTAGTAACCCGACTGTTAAGTGAATCTGGCTTCCCCATTGACTTTGCTTGTCAGAAGGTTGCAAAAGGGGATCCCATGACCCCGGGGACACTGCAACCATCACGAATCAATTGCAAAGCATCCAAATTTTGATCACGTGACCATGAGAATGCTGCAACGGTCATAAGTGTGAAAAATGGTCATAAGTCACTTTTTTCACTACTATTGTAACTTCAAACGATCACTAAATAAACTATTGTAAACTATTGTACATTTTTCTTCTGCACCTGGTGCTTCCCCAACAACTTCTGCATTCATTCGCCAAGGTTATGTACCATCTCTATATTGTGTAGCCATGGTGGTGATGATGATGGTGGTGATGATAATGATGGGCTATTTTAAAAAGGAGTGAATCCCTGATTGATTCCTGCACAACTTTTTGTGTAGGCAAGAAAAGGCAGCCCTTATATAGGGGCATCTATGTGGGGTAGAGGGCTCAAAAAAAGTGAAATATTGTAACCACACAATTGAAGCACCGTCCCTGTTTTATGTGTATCATGCCTGCCCCCCTGTAGATAATCCTGGGCTGCTAGTTATTATCTCTAAAATCCAAATTCAAGACTTTTTTTTTATTTAAAAAGGCAGGTGAAATCTGTGTTGGCACCTACCTTTGGCTGAGCCTAGAGGAGTCTGTGGGAAGAAGAGACATAGGTAGGTTACCGAAATAGAACAAAAACAGGAGACGTTTCTTTGCACATTTATCTTGGCTGTGAGTCAAAGCCGCATGCATGGCATTCTGAATACATGCAAAAGCTTTTAAAGGCTTCCCTGTTACACAGCATTAGCTTCCTGCATTTTTTATAAACTCTTTCAAGAGCATGAAAACTGAGTCAGTTCTCTCTGGATGGCACTGCACCATGGGTTAAACAAATCCTGTATCCATGAACCAAACCAGAAGGAGAAGTTGGGATTCCAGCTTTAGTTAAAACTGGAGCCTGGCTTGCATCTAGCAATCAGATTTGCCTGCTAAGCATTCTTCAGTGAACTATGGTGCCCATATGGACATGGCAGGGAGAGTCTTTTGTTCCATCCTCATAACAACCCTGTAGGGAGACCATGTGGAGAGAAAGGAGCTGGTTCTGACCTTCGGCGTGTGGGGTAGTTTCTCTTCCTTGACCACCACTCTGGTTGTTTCCTCAGCCATGTTCTCTTTGGTGGAAGATGCTGAGATCCCATTTTCCAGCTGTTCCAATTCTTTTTCCAACCTAGACCAGGAAGAGACATCAACTGTCAAACATTGTTTAAAGCTTAGAGCTGAAATACTAATGCTGAAAGAAGATATCCTCTTTTGCTACACAGATTTATGCATCATATGATATAACTCCTGTTCTTGCTGACTTGCCTGAGCCTCATAAATGAACTATCAATTCTCAAATTTAATTCAACACATTATATTGTAACCTAAGTTGCAGTTCTTGTTCAGAGACATCGTTTAGCCCTAATAATCCCACTTCTCCGCTGAGTGCTAGATTTGGAGTATGCCAGCTAAATTGTAAATTATTCTTCCTATTTCCAGTGTGTTCTACTAAGTATGCAGAAATAAGAAATTAAATCAGAGGCCTCAGGCAAATAATAATTTGATAGCCTGGTCCTTGCCTAAATTCTTCCATTCCTGCTCCAGTTTCGCTGATTTTTGGAGTCTTTAGTTCCCGAGCAGTGATACCAGCACAGATCCTCATTCTTTGTGGCACCTATCATATGGAGCTTCCTCAACAGCAAAAATAATCAGGCCAAATCAATGGATTTAAGAAAACAAGGTTTGCCTGCCCCATCAGCTGGATTACATCTTCTTTAGCCAATATAATTACTGGGTGAAATTCAAGGGAGTTGTCATCCAGAATTTTGGGAAAAAGGCTGATTTAAACTAGGAATGAGTTTTTTGAAAGTACAGATGTGGACTGTTGCTATGCTACATATGATTACCTTCTACTTTTAAGATTAGAGGGCTTTTCATTTTGGTATGTTTTAGTTTGTTTATTTTGCCTGTTGTCTAGGACTGACTTCCTACTTGGTTTTATATTGGATGCTAATGCATCCCTAAGGACCACGTTGGCAAAATTGAAGCACAATAAAATAAATAAGATGAGAAATGCAAAATTCATTAATGTCACTTTTCATCTCAGCCTCCTGCCAAGGAGAGGAGCAGGGACGCCAGAAATCTTGTTTTTCATCTTTTGCAACAACTTAAGAGATGTTAATTTTGGTTGTTAGTTCTTCTAAGCAAGTTTTGCAGATAAGTAGATGTTGAATCCCAGATATTATCAGACTAAGTCCAACACACCAATCAACATACAAGTGATATGATGTTTGAATGAAAAATTCCAAAACTTTCAATGAGCATTTATCAGTATTTGCAGTAAGAGAAGCTCTCTAAAGTAAACTTGGGCAGAATCTACACTGATGGAAGTTGTTGTCAAAATGCAATCTCGACTTAGCCAGGAGGCAAATGCTAAATTGTGTAGCACAATATCAAGTATTTATAATATGAGTATGAGTGCCCAGTTTAGTAACTCTGGATAGACCATCTATCACTGACAATTACACTACAATTATAGACTTTCATGCACCTGGGTTTTTAGTTCAATTTTTTTCCTCTGAAAATATGCAAAGGTTTAAGTCAGGTTTTTTTGTTTCTGTCCATTTCACACAGGCTATTTTTAAAAGGAACTCTATGTGTTCCTGCTAATTTTGGGGGGCATCAGAGATTAAATGTACCCTGTCTTTCCTGTCACCCACTTGATGTTTCATCCACTCTCTACTCAATTTCACAACTCAGTTTTATCAGAAAATGCAATGTAGTGGGTTTCCATCTCAGCAGGTGAGCTTAGCTATCTAAAAATATCCTCCAAAATCTAAACAATGTTGGTTCTGGACTTCTGGGATGTTGGCTAGACTGAGAAATTATAATTCACCTCAGAATATGGCAGTGGAAACGGCGACTTCAAAGAAAACTCCACATATCCAGAAAGTCACCAGAGGTTGAGCTAAACTTGAGGAAACCTTTTTAGCTAATTTCATGTTGCGTTTTTTTAAAAAAGCCTCTCTGCTTACATAAGTAGAATGCATCATGTCTTAACAAGTATAATTGATTTCAACACAACTTTGAAACACATTGTACTTGGCAAGACACAGAGGTAATAGTTGCTTAAAAGACCACTAAATAAAACCAGTCAGGGAGGGAAAAAAAAAAGATTTTAGAAGAAAAATAATGCTAGGATAGCAGGTTGGAGGGCTAATACAGGTAATCCGTGACTTAACGGTCACAACTGAGCCCCAATTTTTTGTTGCTAAGCAAGACAGTGGTTAAGTTAATTTTGCCCTGTGTTATGGCCTTGTTTGCCACAGTTGTTAAGTGAATCGGTGCAGCTGTTAAGTTAGTTAACACAGTTGTTAAGTGAAGTCCACCCATCTTAAAGTTGTCAAGTTGGAGAAATCGCTCTAATGGATCTGAGCATGGAGAAAGTACAAAGGAGAGGTTAGAAGGAAGGCTGGGCACTGCAAATTAACGCCCACCTAATGGCTGGACTTAAAGGAAGCAAGAATTGGCTCGACTTATGCAACCCCTCCCTGTTTCTCTTGCCGTTATTTGGGTGCCAGGAATCCTGGCCCTTCTCCCCTCTCTTTGGCCTTCCAAATTCGGAGGTTAGGACACAGCCAAAAGAAAACAACAAGGGTGGGGAGGCAGAAAAGGCTATTGCAGCTGAAAGAAGAATCTGACAGCACAACTATTTTAGAGAAAGGAAATTGGTTGCGTTTTTCTGAATAACTGAACAAACTGAGAAGGGGAAGCAGCAGAGCAGTAGACCATGGGGGTCTACTGCAATGGTCATTGGTGTGAAAAACGGTCATAAGTCACATTTTTCAGTGCTGTGGTAACTTCGGTCACTAAACGAATGATTGTAAGTTGAGGACTACTTGTAGTTCCCCAAGATTTGGTGGGATATACTGTGTAATACAGGTAGTCCTCAACTTATGACCATAATCAAGCCCAACATTTCTGTTGCTAAAGGAGAAAATTGCTAAGTGAGTTTTGCCCCATTTTACGACTCTTCTTGCCCTATTTGTTAAGTGAATCACTGCAGTTGTTAAATTAGTAGCACAGTTGTTAAGTGAACCTGGTTTTCCCATTGGTTTTGTTTGTTGGAAGGTCGCAAAAGGGAATCACATGACCCCGGGACACTGCAATGGTCATAAATGTGAGTCAGTTGTCAAGCAGGATGCAACGGTCCTAAGTGTGAAAAATGGTCATAAGCCACTTTTTTTCAGTGCCGTTGTAACTTTGAACAGTCACTAAGCGAACTGTTGTAAGTCAAGGACTACCTGTATTTATGTATAATAATACCTATAGAGGAACATTGTGTTAAGATATTCCGATTAGTTCTCTGGTGGCCTCTGAACTTTTTCTAAGCAACTATGGAGATTCTCAGTCCTCCAGGCATGATTGCCCCAAAGCTGCTTTTTCAACTGGACTTCCTTTGTTTTTCCTTGAAGACGTTTCGCTTCTCATCCAAGAAGCTTCTTCAGTTCATTTTTCTAAGTGAGTTTCATCATATTGGTGATTCCTTTTCCTTCAAACTGTCCCCAGCCCCGTTCCAGTCTTCCCCCCCCCCCTCACCCTATTCTGGCTATGCACTACCCAGGGAAACAGTAGGAAGCAGCTGAGCAATTAGGGAAGGAGGCAATGGCAATAGTGGGTCAAGGAGAAAAAGCAGGATATGGGAAGAGAAGACTGTTCGGCTAGACAGGAAAATCTCATGGGCCACTAACAGCCTTCCAGTCGGAGATTCCCTCCCTGATCTTTTGGCTTGTCTCATTGGATAAACATGCTGCCCAGTTAAACACACAGCATAGAAGCATTGTGGGGTTAGAAGGGGGCACAAGGATCATCCAGTCCAACCCTCTATAGCTGTGTTCCTCAACATCAGCAACTTTTAAGATCCGTGGACTTCAACTACCAGAATTCCCCAGACAGCATGGCTGGCTGCGGAATTCTGGGAGTTGAAGTCCACTGATCTTAAAAGTTATTTTAAGTTATTTCCACTATGCCGGAAAACCAATTAACCCCCTTCCCTCCAGTGAGAAGTAGCTGTCCAGCCTCTTCTTCAAAACTTCCACAGACACGGAGCCCATCCAGAATAAGTGAACTATTCCACTGCTGCATAAAGATTTTCTGTATATTTCCGCAAAATACATAGCTGAACGTTTATTTATTTCTTCCCCTGCTATTCATGTAGTCCAGAATGGGCTTTGGTCCAGAAATCAGATATTCTATAGACTGAGAGCCTTCTGATCATGTGAGGTAAGTGGGAATGACCTTGCAAGGGACTCGGGGAAGAAAATAGATAAAAGGCAGCTGAGTCCACAGAGGAATACGGACAGGGCAACAGATTCAGAAGAGACCCCCCCCCTAGTTTGGGGGCTGTAATGGGGATGGGGATGCCTTTTTAAATACAGATAGTCCTTGACTCACAACATTTCTTTAGTGCCCGTTCGAGGTTATGACGACACTGGAAAAAATGGACTTATGACCGTTTTTCACACATACGACCATTGCAGCATCCCCATGGTCACGTGATCAAAATTCGGACGCTTTGCAACTGACTCGTATTTATGACAGTTGCAGTGTCCCAGGGCCATGTGATCCTCTTTTGCAACCTTCTGACAAGCAAACTCAATGGGGAAGGCAGATTCACTTAACAGCCATGTTACAAACTTAACAACTGCAATGATTCACTTAACAACTGCAGCCAGAAAGGTCGTAAAATGGGGTAAAATTAACGTAACTATTTTGCTTAGCGAGAGAAATGTCGGGCTCAAATGTGGTTGTAAGTCGAGGTAATAGGATGTTAATAATTGTAGTATCATGTAAACGTTATTGCACCGAAACCTGCACTGAAATCACACAATGTATCAAGATTTACAATATTACCACAAAAAAGGGGGGGGGGAAATGCCAAGGGGGCAGCCATAATCCTACAATCAACATGAGTCACATGACACGTGTAAAAAAGGAAAGAGCTTCCACCAAGACTTTTCTGACCTTTCTCCCTGCAGCAGACAACCACTAAGTCTAAACACATTTAGAGAAAGCTGGATTTTTTTGTCCATTGATGGCTCTGCAACAGATAACTTACAGGTAATCCTTGACTTATGGCCAGTTGCTTAGCAACCATTTGAAGTTCCGATGAGCATCCCCAGGGCTATTTATGCCTTGGGTTCAAAGTTCTGATGTCTGCCCTTCCATGCAGTCACATAATTGTACTTTGGTGTCTGGCAACCGGCCCACATTATGACAATTTGCAACATCCGCAGTCACCTGATTGCAATTTACTATGTTTTTTTCCCAGAAGACATGTGGTTTCTGACAAAACTCACCCATTGTGGATAATGGACTTGCTTAAGGACCACCACCAAAAAAATTGGATGCAGTCACAAGGTGACTCACTGAACAACTGGCACGGTTTATAGCCATAATTCTGGCCTTAATTACAGTCATATGTTGAGGACTGCCTGTAGAGTTCCTTTCTTATCAGTCATGAGTTCATAGCATAATTATAGTAGGAACAGGGCAAAATAGTCTTTGATCATATAGAGCAAGGGTGCCAAACTGCCGGCCCATGGGCCAGATGTGTCATGCCAAAACTGTGTCCACCCCAGCTCCAGCAATGGGGAAAAAATCGAGATACATTGTGACACGTCACATGACGTTGCGAGTTTGACACCCCTGATATAGAGGGTCAAACAGTAATGCAGGTGTATCACCAGAAGTGACTGGACTGATATTTTTATGTGTCTGTTTGTTCTTTGTGGGACTGTTTTTTTAAAAAAAACAAACAAAATAGGTGCAGAATCATAACTTATTTCAGTTTTTAGAAGTGCACTTAGGAATACTGGTGGCACCCTCTAACTAGGTAGTGTCAGACTACATAAAGGGGCTGGGAACTTCATGAAGGCTGTCTGCCCACCCTAAACAAGAGTTAATAAATTAGTCCAAGGATATCCATGGCTCCTTTAGTTCCATCCCGATCTCACTTGGAAAGATTTTTAGAAGCTGTCCCTGTTAGATTTCAGCTTAATATGTACCAATTTCTCCCAACCTGCCATCCTCAAGGTATGTGGCGACTGCTGGCTACCTTCAGCTAGAATTAGAGCTTCTGGGAAGCTTAGTCCAAATACGTGGTTTGGAGAAGGCTGCCATAATCATTACCTCTGGATGTTCTCTTCCAGTTCCTTGGCCTTCAAGTTGTCCTCCTCCATCAGCTTCTTTGTGGCTTCACCCTCTTCAGCTGTGGATGAAGGAGCTCCCTCCAGCAGCCATCTCTCTCGCAGAGCCTTTGACTTGAAGACAACAGGGGAAAAAAAGGAGAAAATATTCTTTATTGTGGAGTCCTGGGTGCGGGATGAACTTAAGGATGAGGAGAGCACCAAGTTCAACCCAGAGCTACATACAGTATACAGTAATCTTCGACCTACAAAATTCTATCCTGTGCGGAAATGGACAGACTGACATTAGAACTCAAACATAAAACAGAAACAGAGTACTTTCAAATTTGGAATAAAGTGTATAATTGGTTGGACTTTAAGAGGTACGCTGGGACAAAGGCTGATGATTAAGTAGATAACCTAGAAATTCTTATTTTAATATTTGTTATATCACAGTGGTTCTCAACCTTTTTAATGCCGCGACCCCAACCGGTCATAAGTCGAGGACTAAACCGGTCGTAAGTCGAGGACTACCCAACCGGTCATAAGTCGAGGACTTTCCCTGCCCGGGAGCGCCACGCATGCGTGGTTCCGCCCCCTGTGCCGGCCGAGGCGTAGCTGGCAAGCGGCAGAGACGGAGCAGGCCGACCACCAGCTGGCCCAGCCCAAGGGAGGTAAGGCACCCGCCGGAAAAAGGGGAAAAAATGGCGGACAAAAAAAATGGCGGACAAAAAAAATGGCGGACAAAAAAAATGGCGGACAGCCTTGCTTGGCGACCCCCGTGAAATGGTCGATCGACCCCAAATGGAGTCCCGACCCACAGGTTGAGAACCACTGTTATATCAGATAGAACCAAAAGTTATTTAACTAGGATGTACTTTATTGAAAGAATGCACACTGTGTAACAATGTAATAACTTAATGTAAAGTAATATTAATAGTATCGTTTAAACAGGGAAGTTGTAAAAAAACAACAACAATTCATTTAGTGAGTGTTCAAAGTTACAATGCCACTGAGCAAAGTTCAGTGTTTTTCACACTTACAACCGTTGCAGTAGTCACACGATCAAAATTCGGATGGTTGGCAACTGACTCATATTTATGACGGTTGCAGTGTATCGGGATAATGTGATCACCTTTTGTGACCTTCTTACAAGCAAAGTCAATGGGGAAGCCAGGTCCACTTAACAGTTGTGTTACTAACTTAACAACTGTAGTGATTTATTTATTTATTTATTTATTTTATTTAATTTATATGCCGCCCTTCTCCCGACAGGGACTCAGGGCGGCGCACAACATATTTAAAACCAGAACATATATACAATCCCCCCCTTAAAACCGAATTAAACCGAATTTTAGTGTTGCGTCTTCCGAATATTTAAAACCCAATGTAAAATCCACCCTAGGTCAGGTCCGCTTGCTGGAAGAGCCATGTCTTGAGGGCGCGACGGAAGGTAAGGAGATCCGGAATTATCCGGATCTCGGGGGGTAGTTCATTCCAGAGGGTAGGGGCACCCACAGAGAAGGCCCTCCCCCTGGGGGTCGCCAGCCGACACTG